TGAATTCTTTAAGTTTAATTAGTTTGCTATAAAATTAGTGATTCTTTGACTGGTCGGTTCAGTTTAAAATAGCGCGCTCAAACCATATAGAACTTCTCTATAGGCTGTTGTTTATGGCCCCCAAAGTTCTAAGAGGGTCTCAAAAATCTCAGACTGTTATTTATTTGGAGAAATTGCTCAAAGATCAAATTTCATGACACTGAAGTTTGAAGCTTTGAAATAATTTATTTACTTTGCATTGTAAATGTTTGTCAAGACATTAGCATTATTATGTGTGTAATGATTAAAAAATAATTTTAAGTTTGAACTTCATAAATATTTAACTAATAATGTACTTCTTAATTGTATTTCTCTATATTAATGATCTTCATATTTGTATTTCTCTATATTAATGATCTTCATATTTGTATTTCTCTATATTAGTGTACTTCTTAATTGTATTTCTCTAAATTTATGTTCTTAATTGTATTTCTCTATATTTATGTTCTTAATTGTATTTCTCTATATTTATGTTCTTAATTGTATTTCTCTATATCTATGTTCTTAATTGTATTTCTCTATATTTATGTTCTTAATTGTATTTCTCTATATTTATGTTCTTAATTGTATTTCTCTATATTTATGTTCTTAATTGTATTTCTCTATATTAATGTATTTATTTATATTAATGTTCTTCTTAATTGTATTTCTCTATATTAATGTATTTCTTTATATTAATGTTCTTCTTAATTGTATTTTTATATATCAATGTTCTTCTTAATTGTATTTCGCTATATTAATGTTCTTCTTAATTGTATTTATCTATTTTAAAGTACTATTTAATTGTATTTCTCTATATATATACTTGAGGAGAGGCTGATCTGTTCCCTACATGTTAAAACTTTAGTAATCAAGTTAAGGTTCCTAAATGGATATATTTCAGTCGAAAATGGTGGCTGGAAACTTCTGAATAAAATCACCTTTATTTAAAAATAAGAAGAACTATTCACTTAAAAAATTTAATAGGAATTTATAAGAAAAGAGGAGCGTTAGATATATCTGGTTAACGTTTCATCGTGAATTTGATTAAAATTTTATTCAATCAAATTCATGATGAAACGGTTGTGATTTTACACTGTTTCAATTTTACATGTTTATTTAAGAATATTTTTAATTAATTTCTGCATGCATTATGTTATCTAAAAAAGAATTCAAACTTTAACACTTTTATTAAGTAAAAAAATATAGTAGTATATGAAATGATCTTTCATATTAGAAGTATTAAAGAATATTTGATGTTTCTATTATTTAACCAC